AACAGTAAACATTAATGAAGTAGAGTTCATCACACCTGAGGTGGCATGGGTAGGGATCCAAAATTACAAGGTCTCTTTATGTCCTATGGAGAACATATCAGACGGCACGAGATCTGAACGTTAGGGTTTAAAAAGGCGGGCAAAGAAAACAATACAAGTGAGGACAGAACAAAGAGCTTCTTGACTGGAACGTGACAAAAACAAAAAACTTCAAATTACAGGAAGTTCAGGGCCGGAATAATGGATATGGGAGATAGCAGAGCTGCTACGACATGATAGCCATGGTGCAATCGCCGTGAGTATCAAAATTCCAGTCCCACCGACTCATTGACAACTGTCATTTCACCTCTCCTACGCGACTGCCTCTACCAGCGTCTGCATGCTGTTGCTTGTTCGGATCGACTGAGCTGTCCTTACTGGCCATGCTTTCCCCCGACCAAAAAATGGTAGCTGGAGTATTTATTAACGCACAAACCGCATTTATGACTGCTTGGATGGTTTTCCACCTTGCAGATCTGGTAGCATGCACGGGGGAAAAACCTCGTGTGGTGGACGGGTACGCTCCGCAGGGAGGGTCGCCCTGTTACGTTACACCATGCTGCGTTCGTATACCCGCCACCCCTCCAGTAACACGGGTGCATCGCCCACCGCCGGTGGTTCTGAGTCTGGCCTTTAAATTCAGGAAATCAAAAATGTACTGCTGACTTCTGTTTGCTGCTGGTGGTGTTGGGCTCGCCTCGGTAGAGTTATGCAACTGGACTCTCATCTGTAAATAAAGAAAGAAAAATACAAGACCACTTGGGATAGCCTGAAGATAATCTGAAATGCTCATGTCCTACATCGGCGAGCATAGTTGTATCTGCTTTCGTCAGGACAGATGCTACACCGCGCCAAATCCCATTCCGTCATCCAAACAGAGAACACATTCACTCACCACTCCCAGTGGTAGTCACGAATGTCTTTATCGCTGTGCATCACCTACAGATTAGAGCTGATAGCAGTGCTTCGGGGACTGGTGACTACTTCTCAATCACACACTTTCTCTCCTGGTATTATCCAACTCATGTAATAAACACTCGATTAACCAGTTAGGTTAAAATTCCATTCCCACCAGCCCTTACACATTTGATTCCCATACCACGCTTTTGCGCGCTTATATCGGCTTTTACTAAATCTCTTGTAATATAATACCGTATACCAGCAAAACCAGACCCTGGTCGCTAGCCTACTGAGTACAAATCTATCTATTTCCTACTCCATGTAATCAATTGTCATCACCCTAGTTGCAACAGACGCCAAGTTTCTCTTTCTATGTGTATAAATGCATATTATCCAATTTCATATCCCCTCAAATTCACTATGTTTTGCAAATCTCCTCCCATCCCCTCACCTTCCCAAGCTTTAAACTTCGGAATTGCCCGCTTTGGACGACCTGGTTAGCTGATGTCCACTCCACCCGACCTATGATCTACAATTCCGGGATCAAAAAACGGGCCAAGAAAATCTACAATTCCATATCGGTTTCGTTCCACCTTGTTTCCTCGACCAGGCTGAAGTGAATACCGCTGCTCAATGAACTGCATACCCAAGTCGAATCATCTCAAATGTGGCGTCCGTCACGGGGCTGTCCAAAAACTGAAGCATGTCAGGCCAGTGATGACACGGCTCTGCCATACTCAGTTTGATAGCCAACCCGCAACTGTTCCATTCCTCCTCTCAACCGTGCCCTCTTACCTACTCGTTTCATTGACCCCAACGGTCACCATGACGTTCATTCCAACCTATTGGACTACTCTTTCAGATTTAACCACCTCTGTGTCCCCATCCAACCTAACCCCTTCAACTGACTTCCCAGCAACAGAGCAACCAGCGGGTCTGCTTGTTCTCAGATGGCACCATATTTTTGAGACTAAACTGGCCGTGTTCTACGAATTCGAATTATCCCATCTCCACCTCCACTTTTGCTTGTTATGACTCCGGCCATTTACCCAACCGCCCAAGGTCATTCATGGCCAGCAATGGTTTCCCAGTTTTAGTTCATGTCAATCAACTGAGTCACTGAATTTCTCGGACCTCATGCCTATTGTTACCTACAAGTTGCAAAAAAACATATTATTATTCACTCGAGTACCCCCCACTGTTTGTGATACTGTCCCCTTTTCGTGCAATCACCGCTACCCGCAAATCCCTCAGTAATGCCCCATTCTGACTGTAAACGCATGATCATGCCAGACGGCATGCCACCCACAAGTTAATAATAAACATCATCATTATCATCATTTGGAAACACACTAAGCCCACTTGTTTCTTTGGGTTGCTCCATCTTGCGTTTGTCTGGTTGTCTGTCTGCTGTATTCGTTGTCCCCCATTAGTATTGCAAAACAGCGTTGGTGCTTCTAACGCTGGCTACACGCACAATTGTCACACCTATTCGTCATGCATTCTTTCAAATCATCCTTAAATGTTGCAAAG